CCCATGGTGGGGGTGGGGGTGGCTGATAAGGGTTGGTAGGAGGAGGTGCATATTGGTGCAGGTCTGTCACCACCCTCCGAGATGGGGGTGGAGTTGACTGCCTGGCGTCAGGAGGAAGAGGCGCATACCGGTGCAGGTCTGTCCCCACCGCCCGAGATGGGGGTGGAGGTGACTGCCTGGTGTCAGGAGGAAGAGGTGCATACCGGTGCAGGTCGAACCCCACCGCCCGAGATGGGGGTGGAGTTGACTGCCTGGTGTCAGGAGGAAGAGGTGCAAGTGGGTGCAGACCCGTCCTTATCCCCCGGGTTGGGGGTGTTGAAACGGGGCTAAGGGGAGGAGGTGCAACAGCATCTGTCTGGGGCGGTTGTAGCTGACCCTGTTCGATTCTCAGATCATCTCGCTCCATTACAGAAATCCATTCTGTAGCTGTAGCCAAATTCTCCTCACAAGCTGTCAGGCGCTCGTGTGTTGACCGATTTTCACGTTGTAAAGTCAGCCAACTCCGGGTTATTAACCCCTTGTCTGCCTTGCAAACGTCCAGCTCCCTTAAAGCGGTTTTCAACTGTGCTTGTAACTTATCGTTATCCGCACACGCGTCTTGGTACGCTCGGTCCTTATCCGCAATCTTCTCCTCATATGATCGAGCCTGTTCTGACAGCTCTCTCTTTGAGAGGTCCTTATCAGTTTGAATCTTTTGTTTCAGCAACTCAGATTCACTTATCAGCTCGGCACACTTCTCCTCATATGATTGAGCCTGTTCTGACAACTCTTTCTGTGAGAGGTCTTCAGCAGCCTCAAGGTGTTGCTTCAGCGACTCAGATTCAATCATCAATTCGTCACACCTCTCTTTTTCAGACTTATATCCGTTGAATAGCACGCCCTTTTCTACCACCAAACGGTCTAATTCCGCCTTCAGAAGCAGAGAGATTTTTGCTAACCGTACGCGGCTTGATTTTGTGTCCTCCTTCACTGTAGCTGCTCTTGATAAACTCTGCAGCTCCTCATGTCTTTGATCGTCATCAAGGTCTCGCAATTCCTCCAAATTTTTGCCAAGAATTGAATTTGTTAAAATGTGTAAGGCTGTCTGGACCGCATCCTCGGATTGTAAGGGGTCAGTGTTTTCCTCTCCGTCCGCCATTATCTGCTATTTAGAAATTAAATAGTAGATGTAAATGTTTAGGTGGCAAAAGAAACCAGAAAATCTCTTTTTCCTGATAAGTTTTACTCTTATTTAGTGATATATCACTTAAACGTGCGTTATCTTCTAGCAAAAATGAGTAAACTATTCAACTCTGTGAATATTTGTAACTGTATCTTATTTAAAAGTTTCTAAATTTTTATTATGTACCTGTTTCTCAAGGATTTATCAGTGAATAAAAATTTGTTTGGTAAAAGCCCCTTGCATAAATACCTTCATAACTTTTAAAACGCAAGATAACAGTGTTTATTCAGCTTTGAGGAAGTTTTTTAACTCAAAAATTGCCTTTCAGAAAAATAAAAACGTCTAATGTCACTCTTTACCTAAAAACGAAGTGAAAACCTGTGATCCCACGTCTTCTCCACAAGATGTCAGCAGATCCTCAACAATTTTAACTCAGACACTGTTTGTGTCGTCCACTAGGGGCGCTATAACTTCCTGTGGCGTCCGGTCGTTAGCTTGTTAGCTAAAATTAGCATCGGCTTGCTTCGGTGAAAACCAACACTTCTGAACGGATTTTTTACACAAACGTGGCAAAATTTTTTCAATCAGACCTTATATCATGAAACATGAGTTTTGTGGAACAAAATTGCAGCCGTATTTAGTGAATTTAAGCACGGTAAAGCTCATTTCCGACTTGGGGGAAGTGACGTGACACGTCATCCATCCGGTCGTTAGCTTGTTAGCTTAAAATTTAGCATCGCTAGCGTAGTTCAAAAGCATCATTTTATGACGGTCTTTAAACTCAAACGTGGCGAACTTTCAGCGAATATGCTTCGAAGAATGTAAACAGCGTTTCAGAACACAGCTTTAATGCGCTTTCCAGCGTTAAAAAGCAGATTTTATTCCCTATGAAAACGAGTCTTCATTTCCGGGTGACGTGATTGACACTTCCCTCATCCAATCAGAACGTTACACACGGTCTTTCTCAACCAATGACGCAGCGTAGGGGTGAGGGGAGGTGACGTCAGTCAACCTTTCTCAGCAAATCAGAGCTGCCCAAAGCAGCAAACAACCAACCACGAAGCGTTAGCAGCCATGTTAATGTAGCCTGAAACTTTTTTATCACTTATCGTCTTCTAAACCATCAAAATGCACTTTCTCTGCTAAAAATGTAACGAATCAACCCCTGAGCTGCCCGGAGTCTGCTACTCCGGTCTCAAAACGTCTTTCTAGCTATTCAACAACTCGTTCGAACTTTTCCAGAACCGAGTCGGAACCACAGAACCGAACCGGACCAGAACAGCGTCTGGAACACAGTTTAAACAGAATAAAGCGTTTCCACAGCTCAAAGCCAGCTTATGTTACACATACAGACGTACAATTCAGCTTTATAAAGACTCAATGACACAAATTCAGCTTTTAAAACATTGCCAGCGTAACACAAGCGCGCAGCTCCAATTGCGTTGCGTAAAGACGCACGGTTTTTCAGCACAGCTGATAAACTGTTATTGTACAACCTTGCCAACATGAAAATCAATGTGTACACGGTTACAGTCCATTTAGGAGCGCGTAGCGGGCCACCAGTTTGTAGATGAACAGATGCTGGGATATATTCATCATTTAACGCGGGTTCCTCATTTTTCTGGACTGAATAAAACGTGCATTGAATTTAAGGAAATGCAAACGTGAGACGTCATTTAGATTTGACCCATCAAAATGAATGCGGTCATTTATTTACAGAATCAAATTTAACATCAAACATGTACATTAATTTGGCAAATTATGAAAATAACAACAAAGCAATCAATCAGGAAAAATCATACGGCCATGATTTTTCCGTTGCTGCACCACAGACATTTATAAAACTGTACAACTATGATCTTTTACCCACACGGATGTGAATAAGCACTTTACACAGACATTTCTAAATATCTGGGAGAATTTCTACTTGATAGAAAGTTAAAGATGAAAGAAGTTAAAGGGAGTAAGATTGAATGGGAAGGGAGGAATGTTCACCAGAACCGACACTCTCCATCAGAAGCCCAGCTCTCCTTCGGTACGCTTGGTAGGAAACTTGATCCATTACCTTTCTGAAGATTTATCAGCAGATATGGAATTCCGTTAACGCTACCTGTCCAGCGTCTCCTGGTAGTGGCTGTGGCTCGTCAGAAGTAGTGGCTAGTGAAAGTTATAATCCCATGGAACTCGGAAGAGCCTTTTGTCATGTCAAGATCATCCCGTCTCTAACAGAACTTGAGCAGAACCAGCAGAAAACTCTCCAGCACTCCAGCAACTTCAGAACTCCAGAACTCTAGAAGTCTGACAACTCTCCAACTCCCTAACTCTGTGAGTCTGTGAGACTGTGTAGACCAGGAAGTACTGACATTTTAAAGACTCTTTCCCGGTTCACTTTTTGGGATTTTTCATTGGTCAGAAACGACCAGACGGGGTGGGTTTTGTGACGTAAGAGGTTAGAGACAGCGAGAATTGTTATGGGACAGCTCAGAAATGTTCTCACAGACCGAGAGGGTTTTGTTGTGGCGTGTTTAAGAAACAGGTGCAAAACATCTCTATTTACGTCTGAGAGGATTCTAAAACATGACAGTTTTAACATAACAACTTGTTTTTCGTTCGACTGTAACCTTGTAAACGCACACACTTGCTCATTCAAAAGCAGAAATCAGAAAAATGCATAATTACTCTGCAACAGCTTTTAACATGAGAATAAAAATCATTACTCAGTTAATAAAATTGATTAGTTCACTGCAACATCTAAAATGGTTTGAACTAAGACACTTTGATTATCAACATTTGTAGAATAGTAATGATAATAAAAAGAGAGTGTTCTTTTCACTTGAATCTTCAAGAAAGAAAGTCTCAGGATGGGTGAACCTGTATTTATGTATTCAAATACATGAAATGACAGTTCCTGTCCCACAAGGTTCTAAAGGTCAAGAGTTTTGACCTTAGACTTAGTTTCGACGTAGGCCTAGTCCACTACATTACTCTGAATTCATGAGACACGTCTCCGTTCAGGAAATCCATTTCATAGTTTGAAGTCAACATGCATCATGGATCAGAAATATCAGCAGGTCCGATACGTAAATTATGCTGGTATCGGAGGCCGATACTGGATCGGATCGGCCCCATCCATAGTTATATTATTGTGATGTTGCATGAAGTTATAACAGTTGTAACATTGTAGTTTTATATCATGTTGTCACATTTTAGTGTTACAGCAAGTTGTAAAATGGTAGTGTTACATCATGTTTAACATTTTAAGGGTTTTTCTCAGCCAAGAAAAAAGTCTGATAGGAATTTTTTTTGCCTCCAACTCCTACATGTGTCCAGTTAACCACTGTTTTTTGTCTGTCCAAACAGGTCTCACTTGTAAATGAGTCTTTGAGGCTCAATGTGATTTATCTGTTTAAATAAAGGTTGAATGAATTGTAGTTTTACATCAAGTTGTAACATTGAAGTGTTACATTGAGTTGTATAATTTTAGTGTTACATCAAGTTGTAACATTTTAGTTTTACATCAAGTTGTAACATTGCAGTGTCATATCATGTTGCAACATTGTACTGTTTCATTATGTTGTAACAGTTGTACCGTACGGGTCACACTGGATTCTGATGGCAGTCACATTTTACTGATAATGTGAAGGAGCACACAGAAACACCTGGTCTGAGCATTAAGACCTCCAGGGCGAACATGACTTTAGGCTTGGCTCAGAAATTCAGTCAGTGTCCCAGCTTTATGTCCATTAATGTCTGTTTATGTTTGAGAATCCACTTGATGTTTAACGTGTGAACAGGCAGACAAGGAAACATTTGACAGAGCTCTCCGTCTTCCATTCAGGGTTCAACAGGTGTGTCCACGGCCATGAAAAGCCTCAGCCCTTTATACGCTCAAATAAGCTCCACCCACAGTCAGCCTGGTGACAACAATCTGGATGTGAAGCGCTGCAACAAAACTCTGCAGCCAGGTGAGTGACATCATGTGTCTGACTGAACCCAAGCCATGTAAAGTGGTGCCTGAATGTATGTGAACTATTTATAATTTTATATATCTCTGCATAAATATGACTTACATCAACTACATCATGATTTTCATACAAGTACTAAAAGTAGATATAGAACCCAGTTAAACAAATAAGACAAATATATTACACTTGTTCATTTATTTATTGAGGAAAATGATTAAATATTACATATCTGTGAGTGGTAAAAGTATGTGAACCTCTAGGATTATGAGTTAATTTGAAGGTGAAATTAGAGTCAGGTGTTTTCAATCAATGGGATGATGTTCAGGTGTGAGTGTGCACCTGTTTGATTTAAAGAACAGGGATTTATCAAAGTCTGTCTGCTCTTCACAACATGTTTGTGGAAGTGTATCATGGCACGAACAAAGGAGATTTCTGAGGACCTCAGAAAAAGAGTTGTTGATGCTCATCAGGCTGGAAAAGGTTACAAAACCATATGTAAAGAGTTTGGATTTCACCAGTCCACAGTCAGACAGACTGTGTACAAATGGAAGAAATTCAAGACCATTTTTACCCTGCCCAGGAGTGGTGGACCAACAAAGGTCACTCCAAGAGCAAGGTGTGGAATCATCGGCGAGGTCACAAAGGACCCCAGGGTAACGTCTAAGCAACTGAAGGTGTTAGAGAAAACATTCTCTCTTAACTTAAATAAAAAGAACTACACTCGATGGCAGGAGAATATCTTTAACCAGTATTTACTTGCAAATACCGATTTTCAAGACAGGTTACACAGATATACAGGAAGTACACACAGATATTCATAAATTCCGTATGTTGTGGGAGTTTCAGAGAAATTGAGACATTTATTTTCTAAACATAACGTCCCAGTGGCTTTTAAACCTCAAAATAAATTATGGCAAGACTGGTTCATCTCAAAGATCCAGTGTCCCTTTACAAACAGAGCAATATTGTGTATGCTGTTCAGTGTCAGGAGGGCTGTGATCAGTCTTAATCGAGGAAACTAAACAGCCACTGGCCAAAAGGATGGACCAGCACAGAAGAGCAACATCATCAGGCTAAAGCCCCCAGTATACTGCCGCGTACATCCATACGCAGAGGTACGAGTGTACCCTCCATGCAAAGCTCAAATTTTTACGACCACATACGCGTACGCGGTGTCGCACAATAAACTGCTCGGCGACGGACTGTTTTTTATGTGACACCAATGTATTAAATTCCCCTTCTTCATCTCTGATCTGGCCTTTTCTTTTGTTTTTGTTTTTTGCCAAGAGGCAGTGATCTCTTCCTCCTCCATTGATGCCATGACTGAAATGGTGAGAAATGGAGGAATTTTTCACGAGCAAATTAAACTCGGGTCTAGCGTGGCTGCGGGAGGGTCTGGAGATTTCCTGGTGGGCTGGTCTGATGTGTGGGCTGTAGAGCCAGCGCTCTGTTTTTTTTGTAGATCTTTTTATTAACAACATAAACACAGAACACCGCTGCGGCGGAGGCTGCCAGCGCTCGCTTTTTTCTTTTTTCCGACCTGTCAATCAATCCAGTAGGCGTGTCAGCAAATGACCAATCGGCGACCTCAATTTGTTCCGAAGGTAAACGCCCCTTGTCGGTGAAGCTGCTCTGCAGCTGCTCGGGGTGTACGCTGGAGTATCATGTCTGAACTCTCTGCGTACCGTACACACGTATGTACGCGTGAACGGATGTACACGGCAGTATACTAGAGCCTTAAGACTCTGTGGTTTACACTCATCTTCGTGCCAGCGGTCACTCTTTTAGGGATGAGGATGTTCACATCCTTGACAGAGAGGAACTGTGGTTTGAAAGGAGTGAAGGAGGCCATCTTTGTGAAAATAAACTATCCATTATTAAGCAGGGGTGGAGCCTCTGTGTTCAACTGTCCCCCTCTTACAATGCTGTTATTGCTAGTATCACTCGGCCCCCTGTGAATAGCAAACAGCCATCAGGGTGCTAATGATCCATCGTTAGGCTGATGGGCCTCTTTGATCATGTGAACAGCTAGTTTTGAATGTCAACAACAAAGTGATTGATCCACTATGAGAAGGTACTATTTATAAGACTGAGCTGAATGCAGCTCCTCAGACTGAAGAAGTCTTTCAGATGAAAAACAAAACATTTCTACAATTTTGTTTTTTTGAACCCATCCAGAGGACCTGGCTTAACATTTTTAGATTTTTCTACCTGGATTTTTGCGGATGCATCAAGATATACAGGAAATACACACATATATACAGGAAGTTCAACACTTCACTTCCAGCGAGCTGATGGACGGCAGCTCCCTCCGGCTTCTCTGCAGTCTTTTATCATCAAACTGACCCGTTTTTTCGAACCGGACTAAAGTTGGTCCTCCTTCTAACCAAATTTGGTGTTCAGTGACTCAGAGAGCTGGACGGGACCGTCCAAAAATATATTTTGGTCCAGGACCGGCCGCTCCCACCCCACCGGTCACTCTGAGCGCACCCTGTCGGCCAGGTGACCCTTCGAGCCGGGGAGTCGTCGCACGAAGGTCCGGTGTTTTTTCTCTCTCTCTCTGGACCTCAACGAACTCTTACCTGGACCTTTGGGGTTGTACCTGGTTCCGACAGAAATCGCCGGGTGGTATTTCGCTGGTTTTCTGCTGGACTGGCCCTCGTGGTGTCTTCATAGGTGTGGGGGAAGTGTACCTGTGACCCTCGAATTGGACCAGAACTGAACCGAGGTGGCTGTGGGGATTTCGTCTTCAACAGAGCCGGTCTCGGCTTCAGTGAGCAGCCCGTTACTTTCACTGAAGGACTGTCCACCTCCGTGGAATCACTGTGTTCACCTGGAGGAGACGCTCCGGTGCTTTGAAGTGCCGCTGGACCGGAGCAGAACCGCGCCGCTGGACCGGAGCAGAACCGGGCCAGGGATATCTTCAGCCTCTTCGTCTCTCGTGCTGTGGAGCGCCGGAGCAGGACTGGAGCAGAATCGGACCGGACCAGTGTCGACTTCAGCCTCTCCGGTCAGTCTCGTTTTTCACCGGGGTTGCCTCTCGTGCTGTCGGATGCGGAGGTGTCATGCAGAGAAGCGGAGGAGCAGCGCTGCGTGGTGCTCGAGAGAAGTTCGGAGTTTGTATCGGAGTTGCTGCAGTCCTCCATCCAAACTCACCTGGATAATAATTAATTTTATTCCGGATCACGTTGTTGGCCCCTGTTGACCTGAAACGAGCTTGGACCATGCCTTTCACTTCAGGAGGATTTTCTGGCAGCTCGCTCTGCTATTTGCTGCGAATTATCTGTTTCTGTTTCGGCCTGTTGATTCTGGACCCAGCTTCTGTTTCCCATGGGAGCATCCATCCATCTTCACTGGGGGGCCGGAGCCCCCCTCAGCCCAACTCAAACTGTAGTTTGGCCACCTCGTCGGGTTTGTTTGCCCATTTGAACTGTGACGTTTTATGGTCTGAAACTTTTCTGCATCATTCATATTATTGTCACTATTTTCAGTTCTCAGATTATCTGGAGCCACTGAATCTTGTTAATACACCTGAATCTGCCCATCACTGCAACTTTCACAGTTTTTGGGTTCTGAATGATCACGTCTTCATTCATGTTTCTCATGGTTCGATTATGGGGGCTAATTGTCACACTGTTAACTCCTGCAATTACACATCAGTCACAAAAAACTTAAGAAAATGTCTGATAATAATGTTGTTACTGCTCTCAGGGATTCAACCCAACCCTGGACCCCTCACTAATTACAGCACACCAAATGACTTTAAGAACGTGTCTGGGCTTCATTTTCTACATGTAAACGCTCGTAGCCTTCTGAAAAAACTTGATGCTTTGAAAATTCTGATCAGTTCTTCTGGGGCAGATGTTATCTTTGTCTCAGAATCCTGGCTCAACAAATCTGTAATGAATAATGACCTGGCAATCAATGGATTTAACATCTACCGCTGTGATTGTCAAAAAAAAGGGGGGGGGGGTCACGGTTTACATCAGAGATTCTTTGGTTGCTAGTCTTGTGTTTTCTAAAACGATTCCAAACCAGTTTGAAGCCTTATCTGTAAACATCACCTTGAATGGAGGTCAGATCTTAACTGTAGTCTGCTACTACCCCCCCCCCCCCCCCCCTTAGCATCACCTGAGGCTCTGTCTGCACTGATGGAATTCCTTGGTAATTTAAAATTCAAAGAGATCCTTTTGGCTGGAGACCTCACCATTGATTGGTGTAAGTCGACCCCCCTCTGTGATAAATTCAAGGAATGTTGCCTGTCTCTCAATCTTACCCAATTGATCGACTCTCCCACTAGATTAAACAAAAACCGTCCTGAAAAATCCTCCATCTTAGACCTATTTCTAACTAATATGCCTCACAAATTCCCTGGTACAGGTGTATTCGCTGATATTTTGAGTGATCATTGTGTGACAGCTGCTTTGAGAGATATTAAACTTCCACCTTCTAAGCCCAGATTAATTCAAAAAAGGGATCTGAAACGTTTTTGTGAACAGTCATTCCTCTGGGATCTGTCTCACTTTGACTGGCATCGTATTCTGTTAACTGATGATGTGAACTCTGCTTGGAACTATTTTCATAATAGTTTCATTTATTTTGTGAACAAACATGCTCCTTTTCGTCAGTTCAGAATAAAGGGACGAGGCAGCCCCTGGTTTACTCCAGAGCTAGCTGACCTCCTGCACAGGAGAGATCATCTTTGGGCCGCAGCGAGAAAATCTGACTCAGACACTGATTGGTTGAGTTTTCGACAGATGAGGAATAAATGCACAACTGCTGTCAAAGCAGCAAAACGCAACTATTTCTTATCTCAGACCTCCAAAAATCTAAATGACCCTAACAGATTCTGGAAAACCATCAAATCTCTCTCAGGCACCCCCCAATCATCTGACCTCCCATCACTACTTCTCATTAACTCTGTTCCTGTGTCAAATAAGCACGAGATCCTGAACTGTTTCAACAAACATTTTGTTGCTTCTGGTTCTTTATTTGACACAGTTACTAACAGAAAATCAGCCATTTCCCCTAATAACCAAACTTCTACAAATCAAATCCTTCCTACAAGTCAATCCTCAGTTAATCACACCTTCTCTTTTTCTCCATTCTCAGTCAGTGAGGTCAATAAACTGTTAAAAGATCTTGACCCTAAAAAAATCTGCAGGTCCAGATGAACTTCCACCTTATTTCTTAAGGCTGGCTGCTCATATCGCAGTCCCTGTGACCCACATCTTCAATCTTTCCATAAGACAAAACTCCATCCCAGACACTTGGAAAACAGCCTTTGTTCTTCCTTTGCTGAAGGGAGGTGACCCCACCTCACTGAACAACTATCAACCAATCTCTAAACTCTACATTTTAGCCAAGGTTCTAGAAAAACTGA